TGCTGAAACTACTTCAAAGTGGGACACCCTTGCACAGGTGCCATTGAGACATGAAGTGCAAAGTAGGAGGTATTTGACAGAATATCCAACGTATTCATTATGATGTTGCTCAAAAGGTTTCAGTATTTTCAACTAAACCTGGTAAAATGCTGTGCCCATCTCAGCTAAACCAGCTTGAAGTAGTTTAGCTTCCTGTGTATTAAAAAAAAAATAAATAAATTTGAATCAAAAACATGCTTGGAATAATTCTTGGAGCAGGGTGGAAGGCTGCACAGAGCCTTTATTAGGACATATCTCAAGCAGAAGGCAAAAGTGGTCAAGAGTGTAGATGGGAGGAAGGGGGAGAGATGCTGTCCAGAGCTCTCCCAAGAGAGTGCAGAAGGCCTGATAGGGAAAGCTGCAACAAGGTAGCAGGACCAGATTAAACCCTCCTCCGCCGTCTCACTGCCTTCTGCACATCTCCTGAAATTTGTTCAAGTACAACCTGTGAGATGGAGTAGGACAGCTGGGGTTCTAACAACTAGGACTCATCATGATACAGCTGCCATAAGTATCCAAACAACAGGGTGAGTAAGAGAGCAAGCTAGGGCAAAGCAACACAGGAACGGAGGATAGCTTTGGGGTTTAGGATGTTGTGAGACGGTATACAAACTCATGCATTTTTTGCAGCCCTGTAGTAATATTTTCTGTTAAGGCTGCAATGAAACACTGAAATTCTCTCTGCAGCACTGCTGAGCTGATGCAGGCCCATTTCCACACAGCCCAGGGATGGAGTACCAGGTGCTCTGAAATCAGACATCTAAATGTGGGTTGGTTACCTCTCTCACATTCTGTGTGCTTAGTTCAGCTCCTTGAAGTTTTATCTGTATTTAAACACCCTGGAAGAGAATGCCAACCAGTTAGACACTATTGAGTCTTTCTCCCACTGCGAACCTGCCAGAAGCTTCTTGTACGATTAATGCACAAGCTCAGCTCCCTGGGACAAAATGTGCTGCTTGTTGAAGACATAAACAAACCAGAGCACACAGCCAGCCAGGAAAAAGCTCTCATAACTGTCTACCCTGAAGCACTGATCTAAACAGCTCAAGCTACCAATGTCTGAAACATCACTAGGGTTACAGACCATAAAAAGAGATGTTAACTGTAGGTGCCTTAGGATAAATACAGTCCCTAGAGATAACAGAGGATCCAGTCATGCTGCTAGTACTGAGAGGTTTGGCAGAGAGCTTAAAAGAGATATGAGACTGCACCTAGGTTTCCAGGTTCTCCTGCATTATTTCTTCTCCTGGGCATTATTGGCCAAACTACAATCCAGAAATTATTTTTCCTTCCTTATGTCTCCAGGTGCTGGGCCAAAGGATAGAGTCACTTCAGTAGCACTAAAGCCACAGACTTCCCTGCATGTTTCACTCATGAGGGTGATGCCCTCTTCTGTAACAGGTAACAAGCCACAGTAAAGGGCACATTTCTCCTCTGCTCTGAGCATGTTAACTACCCCTTCCCCCTTATTTTATGTGCTATAGTTAAAAAATAAAGTAGTAAGTACAAGTTGCTACTGATTGAAATAGCTTCCTGTTTCCACCTTGTAGTTCCCATTGAAAATTGCCACTTGAAAAATAAAGAGAAGGAAAAGAGCTTTTCAGAGATTGTGTTTTTTCACGTGACAGGATAGCTCTTTCTAAGCCTTTACTTAGCCTGAAATTGTGCTATGTTTTTGAAAGATAAACCCAGCAGCTGATTAACAAATGCTGCTCTCATCCTGAATTACTCAGAAGCTCTGCGGAGGTCATATTAGCACCAAATGAGATGGTTCTAATCAGGGGTATAACAGCAAATACAGATTAGGTTATAATTAATGCAAAATTAAGTGGTCATCAGGGATGCTGATTTAAGCCTCTTGGAAGATAATAGAACATAATTTAAAACTTTTTCTCTCTTTTCAGCACCTACTGAAGAAAGGTGTCCCTAAAGAAGGATGTTCCTAACATGCATGGTGAGAAAGGTCAGAACTTAGTGCACATTTGATAGTACATTGCTGAATTAAAAGTTTCAAGTAATATGATTTAATAAATGCTCATTTACTATTTCCAGGTCTTGTTCCTGCCATGTGGACTTAGTCCAGTTTGAGAAGATCAGCCTGCACTTACCTGCAAACAGTTATGCTGCTTGTATAGATCCCATTTGAATTATGTGTAGTGTTCTCCAAACACAATCTTAAAATCAGGTTACAAGAAGCTTCATAAATTTCTAATAACTGTATTGGAGATTTACTGGGCAAAATAATGTAAAAATCAGTCTAAATTACATTTCAGAGCTAGACTCTTGAGAGAGTGACAGACATGGCAATTAGGAATATTATTTCTAATTATTTCATCACCAGCTGGGTAGGTGAGGGGAAAGCAGTGGATGTTGTCTACCTTGATTTCAGCAAGGCTTTTGATACCGTATCCCACAACATCCTTGTAGCAAACCTTAGAAGGTATGGGATAGATGAGTGGACAGTGAGGTGGATTGAGAACTGGCTGACTGGCAGAGCTCAGAAGGTTGTGATCAGTGGTGCAGAATCTAGTTGGAGGCCTGTAACTAGCAGGGTTCCCAGGGGTCAGTACTGGGACCAGTTTTGTTTAATATCTTCATCAATGATCTGGATGTAGGGGGAGCATCCACCTTCAGCAAGTTTGCTGATGATACAAAGTTGGGAGGAGTGGCTGACACACCAGAAGGTTGTGCTGCAATTCAACAGGACCTGGACACACTGGAGAGTTGGGCAGAAAGGAACCTGATGAGGTTCAACAAGAGCAAGTGCAGAGTCCTTCACCTGGGAAGGAATAACTGCATGCACCAGTACAGGTTAGGGTCTGACCGGCTGGAGAGGAGCTCTGTGGAAAAGGACCT